TCTATCTATCTATCTATCTATCTATCTATCTATCTATCTAGCATTGCAGCGCTGATGTTTTTAAGTAGCATGAAGGTTCATTCTAATAAACATATTCAAAGTCAGATGCAAATCAATAATTGGTCTTTAGTTGTGTTTCTTTTTTGTAAAATTGTAGATGTGTATTCTAAAATGTTGTGTGTTCTAAATTCAATTGATGAATGTTTTCAGAATGACTTATCGACTCGATTTCAACTTTTACTGTCAATTGGTCGACTTGGACAAATCCCAACTCGTTAATGCCCCAGTTCCAACACTGATTTGATTCAGACAGGTGGAGTTCTAGAACATGGAACACCTGTAGGAATTACACATCAGCTTTCAAGGTTAGATATAATTTGGTTGTTGTAGAACAGCTGTAGAAAATGACCTTATGGTATAATTCTCAAATGAACATTTGTTCCTGGTAATCAGTTCAGTTTCATACAATTGGATCTGAACAAATGAATGACAAGAAACAACTGGAGAAATTAGCATGTTAAAAAAATTTGGACCCATGGAGTATATTGATGTTCGCTTTACTATAATAGGATCTGATCACTACTTTCAGGAGCTGCTCTGACGGCCTATTTTAAGCACTCATCAGTGTAATTTGAGATACTTGCTTACTCTGGGCATCGTGATGTTTTTTACACCAGCTTAGAGCTGCATGCTTCAACCAGCCTGGTTCCTTCACACGCAGTGTGCTCATAAACTTCTTTCATCTCAAGACACCGAAGGTATGTCTCAACAAGCTGGCCCCGACCATAATGACTGCTCCTCATTATGACCACTTTAACCTCAAGCTGAATGAGGCAGTCAGCAAGGTGAAGTGAAGTGAAAATCAAACAGAGATTTCAGTACTAGGCATGTTTCATTTTTAATCCTAAACCTCTGGTATTCTTCAACAAAAATACATATTTTGGCAATCCAATAATGCAGATGTTCCCTCAAACCCCTCTTGCATTAATAACCTAAAACAGGCCAGCAGGACAACTTGCTCTCCATGATCCACTTCAGGGAAACACATTTAGTCCGCTGTGAGTGCAGCACTAATGCCTCAGCTGACAGCTCTGACTGGCCATCACGGCTCACCTAATTTGTCTGAGTTTTTTTTTTTCTTCTTTGTAAACGCTGGCTCTCATCACTCGAACAGCAGCTGATGGGATTTTTTCTGCTGCATGCCTGTTGCTGTTCTTACTTGTGTTTAGGATGTTGGCAAACGGAGTATGAGGTGTAACGTAGTAGGTAATAAATTACACACATGACATTGGACATATCTTGTATCTGCAGCTGTAGCAGATAGAAGTTTCCAATAATAATCTGGTAACTGTCAATTTATCAAAAAAAACAAACAAACAAAATTTAACATACACAAAAGGGTTTCAATGAGCATTTTGAACAAACCTATGCTTCAAATGCAGTTAAAGTAGTACAGATAGTAAACAAAGCTACTATCCTAAGCCTAGAACCATGTTTTTTTACCAGCAGCAGCAGCTGGAAGCAAAACTCCACTTAGATTAGCACAAAAGTCAGAACTTTGGAGGTTCTAATTACTTATATAAGCTGTTCTTTTTTTCCAGGTTTTCCACATTTTTGCTCCAGGTTTAAATGGCAAATTGAGGAACAAATACATAGAAAAGAAGTTTGAAAGTAGACGTGTAAAATGCTTTTCTTCATATTAAAGAAAGTCAAATAGGGTGTTAAGGAGCCATTTTGGGAACTAGAGTTAGACCGATATGTTGCCCGGCTGAGATTTTTTTGCATTTTAGCGTTTTTTTCCTGTATTGTCATACAATAAGCCGATACGTTCACAAGTTGGCTGATTTATTAGTTCATCCAGTAGCAATGCCTCAAGATAAAGTGAAGCACATGTGTTATCACTCCCTTCGTCTGCTATTCATTGATAATTTTTTGTTTGATTAGCTAATGAATGTTTATGATATATTTAAATTAAAAGCTGTGTAACATTTTCTATCAATCTGTCTTTTTTGTTATCAAAACGGTAGAAGGAAAAGCAATATCAGCTCAAAAAATCAGCAATATGCAGACTAACAGAATTGCCACCTTCGGTTCTGTTCACATCAATAAGTCACAATGTGTTTCAGAGAAATGTTTACGGGTCTAATGAGAGTAAGGCTGAATCATGTGGCCAGGAAGAGAAGTTAATTTTCAGGGATAAAAGTCAAGCCTTATGAACCTGAGAATGCTATAACAACTGCTAGGAATGCTAGTGGCAGCAAAATGGTGGTGGCTAAATTCCCTGCGAGTGGTACTGGTGCATCGTGTAATAATAACAATAATAATATTAATAATTGAATTTTATTAATCTCACACTGTAGAAATTTGCCTCTGGATTTAATCCATCTCCTTGGGGAGCAGTGGGCTGCCACTGTGCGGCATATGGGGAGCAGTTTTGAGGTTAAGGGTCTTGCTCAGGGACCCAGAGTGCTGGTTGAGGGGATCAAACCGGGTACTTGCAACCTTCTAAGAACAGAAGTGCACTGCTCTCACCACTACACTGAAAAAACAATCTAGAAATAAGTAAAAATATCTTAAATAAGTGTATTTACCCTTAATTTGAGTAGGTAAATGAGATATTTTGCCAATGGAATGAGTAGTTTTACTCTTAAAATAAGACAATTAGAAAATATGCACTTGAAATAAGACAATGCAATTGTTTTTTTCTTATTTTAAATTCAAATTGTCTTCTTCCATTGACAAAATGTTTATTTTGCCTTCTCAATCCAAAAACGATTGCACCTATTTTAAGAAAAAAGCATTTATTGAGATCTCGATTTCTTCCAGTGTAGGCCAAAACTCCCACAAATGTGGGGGAAGAATGACAAAATACTCTTCCGTTCCAACATAGGTGACACCCTCAAACACATAACCAAACTGGTTCTGAAATGGAAAAAGTAGGCAAACATTAAGCTGTTGCTTGTGGCATGTGTAACAGTTGGTTATGTGACAGGAAACCAACCCATCTAAATGATCGAATTTCTGCCAAGAAGGGTTTTCCAATATCAAGCCAGGACGATGCTATGAGCTTGTTAAGAAATATATTGACAACAATAAAACATGTTTAGATGTAATAAGCACATCCATTCCATGCTGCTTTATAATAAAGTCATACATAAAGCATTTTAAGAAACACATATGAAGTATGACAATGTCTGTTAAAATGTAGATGAGCAAATAAGGCCTTCTGTAGTACATTTATATTAATGACTACCTTCTGTAGTCATTAAATCACTATAGGTGATTTAAGACTAACCTTTAGAGTTAAAAACACAGCTGGACTTTATTATTTAAATCATTCAAGCCATTGATGATGAAAAACTCTGACTCTCATGACTTGTTTGGAAAACAAATATGTTTGCCAAAGAGTGCTTAAAACAACTTCTACATGTGAAATACGGCTGATCCAGTCATCATCTATTTTCTGACTGAAATGTGATCAAATGTTTTGAAATATGATATATATGTTGTTTTATTATGAAACTAAGTGATACTAACAACATATAACAAGATAAGATCTGGACACCTTTTTCTGTTGTCTTTAACTACTGTTTTGGTGACGGTGTACACTAATACCGTAAAGACGCCTTGTGGCACAAACATTCACAACTGCCATCTTCTGTCTCGGCCACAGACACAGAGACTCCTTTGGTCAAAAATAATACTCACCTCTTATTTGGCCAAAGTAAGCACCTCCTACAGCTTTACATTAGATATAGGTTTCAGTCCTACTGGTCACCGTCTTCTGAGCAACATGTGATCACCATGATTGTCAGCTGTTTGATGTGTTTCTCAGCTGACAGCTTTTCATGTTTCCTGAGGCATCTCCCCTGGAGTGTAACGAATGGCAGTGTTGAAAAGAACTCCGTATTCAGACATAAATCAGTCAGTTACAAGAAGGACGGAAATGGTACAAATAGTACAGAGGTGCATATCTGACCTGCACACCAATGCATGTATCTAAGAACAGATACTGTAGTGGAGCCTCCCAGCAAAAGCTCTACAAGCAAAATAAGACATCCAGCAATGCACCTTAGAGTCTTGTGACAGTGATTTATTTTACAACAAATATATTTAGCCTAAAGGTGTGATAATTTGTTTTTAAGCCATTGAATGTTCACTAACTCTTTTTATTCACATTGAAGATAATTAGCATCAGCCTTTCTGGTTGAAGCAACGTCTCTCCTGGAAAACAACGTGCCTTCTTTCAGCTTCAGTCTGAAGCTCAAGTACTCAAGACGTTCTCAGGTGTCCGTTTCAGATTTATGCCTAACTTCAGCCTTTTATAGAGATTTGATATTCCAGAAGTTATTTGTCACGTCTTTCCAAGCACCCAAAATAAATTGCTTGCTGTCTGGCAGAGGGAGGGTCAAGTCTCAGTTTTGGTTGTGACAACCTGTCATGTCATCGTGAAGGGCTGCTGCTTCTGTTGCACTTACTCTCCCTGACCAGCCATGGTCTCGGCTCTTTCAATCTTCTTTCCTAATGGAGCTTGCAGGTAGCTGGAGTTTGGATTATTCAATGAGTAAAGACTATTAGTCCAAGCTGAGAATTTTTCTTTTGCAATGTATTTGGAAAACACTGAGCAGGGGAAAGTCAGTGGAGAAGGGGAGATTTCCACTGAAGCCATTCTTTCTGGACAATGTGCAGTCTCTAAAGTAACGGGAGCTGCTGGTTTAGGCAGCTCTTCAAAGGGAAGTGCTGAACTGGACATAAGGGCCCTTGTGGAACACACAGAGCAGAGTGTAAGCGCAAGAATGGACCCACCTCTTCTTTATATGCAGAGCTGCAGCGTGAACACAGAGCTGACTGAGCCATGCACGGATTGTAAAGGACTTGTTGAGAGCTTTGAGGAATATTCTTCAGCAGATGGACTTTTTGAATCTGAACAGACCCTCGAAGAGACTGAGTGCACAGGGTTAAGCCAACTATATGATGAATGTACTCAACCCTGTGAGTGTTTTAAAGCTTGCAAGTCCCCAGAGCATTGTGCTAATCATAGCTTAGCCTCTAAAAGTACCCTTTGGTGTGAACACTTTCCAGAACACCTCCTATTATTTCAGCCATGTAAGCCCTCTGATCAACAGTCGGAGTGTACAGATTATGAGCCTGATGACTTGGAATTGACTTCTGAAAGTTTTGAAGACTTGGAAATGCCTGTTTTTGTGTCTGAACACACAGAAAACCTTGAACTGCCTGTGGATCATCTGTGTGAGAACTCTGACACTGAGCAGGACCTGCCAACAGAGGATTCAGAGCAAAGTTTAACACAAAACATTTCCAACTCAATGGAGTGTTTAACCTGCCTTACCGACGTCTCTGAAAATGATGAAAGTCAGGCTGAAGCTGAATACACAGACAATGAGGGTAATGAAGAGGATGACAGCTATGAACTTAACGAGATGGAAGTCAGCGATGAAGAATATGCCTTATCATCAAAGGACACGCCTGATGACACCTGTGAAAGCGATGTTGGTGAAGAAGAAAACTGCGAACATATTTTTACTGCTGATGTTTCCACAGACGTTGGTGAGTTCTATGAAGATGACTCTGAGGATGACCCACATCAGCATTGTGAGTATGAGGACAATGTAGAGTCCTACTTGGAGGAAGACCTGTCTTCAGATGACTCTAATTTCTTTAAGTCTTGTCTTGAAGATGGTCTACCTTCTGATCCCTCTTCCGATTCATCAGAGGAATCTGATAAAGCTGCTCAGGATGATTCATGTGATGAACAAATGCAGTGGGAATCTTTTGAAGAGAATGATGCAGAAAAAGATTCAAGTATTATCAAGACTAGCGAGGAGGAAAAGAAGAAAAGCTTCACCCTTGATGCTGTCATTGAGGATTACTTTGATTTATTTGACAGAGCATACCCCTCTGGACAGGGATTTACACAAAAGCAGCATTACATCTCCTGCTTCGACGGGGGCGATATTCACTACCACCTCCATCTTGAACAGGAGGCTCAGAAACAAAGGGTCAAAATAGCCCCAAAACTGGATGAGAAAAATTATGTGATCAAAGAGCAACAGAAGGATTTGTTCACTGAAGAGGCAACTGAATTAACAACCACAGAAAATAATGAGCAATCTAATGATTCAGAGGAGAAAGATTTGGACCAGAGAGAGTCAAACTCTTGTGTTTCGGAGAGCCAGGCTGAAGACTGGACCATAAAATCTGAATCAAGTTCAACAAAGGATGAAGATAATGACTCTGAGACCTTTGGTCTTTATCCAGAGTATTATCAGGAGTCTGAAGATGATGAGTTATGTTGTGATGATGAAGCTTGGGGATTTGATGGACAAGTTTCCGATGAGTATGATGAAGAACCCGATTTCTGCTTTGATACATGCAAAGAGGAGAGTAAGTTTGCACCCTGTGCCAAAGAAATCTCTGTTGAGGGCGATGTGTATGAAGATTCCATCTCTGCCAGTGAGAACAAAGACTTGGTTAGTGAAGCTGCATTTAAAGGAGATTTGGACATAAATTCTGACCTCCAAGACTATGAAAATGACAAATGGGACCTGGAAATGGATGTTTTTTGTTCATGTTCAGAGATGGAGCCGTATTGGGCACTTATAGATACAGAGCAAACTGGAGAATTTAGTTCCCCAGGGGTTGAGGATTACTATGCTTATCAGATTAGAAGCATTCAGTCTTCAGGTACACAACCCTTAAATGAGTTTATACCGAACATCAGCTCTACTGATAAAAACAGTAAAGGTAAAGCTGATGATGACGCTTTCAGGAATGAAAGGAAAGATGCTATTTCATCTGATAGAGACCTGGAAGATGGCGAAGTGTGGCCAGAGCGGGAGTCATCAGTTGAATTAGGAGTTAATGTTGTCAAAATAATTCCCAACAAACAAAGTTCAGAAGCTGACAATGAACTGCAAGAATTAACATCCCCTCTGGGTATTATTCACAGTGTTGTCTCAAAGCTTGAGGCCACACAAAGCAGGGATTCAGAGGAGGAGGAAGAGGAGGAAGAGAGTGATGATGAATCCATCGAGCAATGCGAATGTGAATACTGCATCCCACCAAGGCAGCAGGTAGAACACTCTTATATTTCATGATTGCTACTTTTCATTACCTTTGATAAACCCAGAACAATTTCAGACTCACCATCTAACTGTGTCATATTATGAAAGGAAGCAACTTTTGTATGTGCTTAAGGATCGCACTCTGCAATGCCAAGCTCTTGCATTAGGTCATAGGCGGCCTGTTTGGTCACACCAGCTTGTTTTTAGCAGCAGTAGTACATTGGGAATACAGAACCACCATGCACTTGTTGAAGGAGAAGATATGACATGGTGATACTTACCTTCTCCATCAGCATGGGGGCAGCTGCAGGATTCAATCTCTTGTAACCACTCACTGAAACACCAAAACACATCCAAGGATGTTTGATATCTGAAACATGTCATGCTAGGTTGCATGGTTGGTTATACTTTTGATCTTAAATTCAAATTCTTTTTGTTCACTTTCCCACATTCAGGCTTTAGTCCTCAACTTTCTGTTTCTCTGCAGGTTCCGGCAAAACCACTGCTCTCACAATCAGCATCCGATGATCCAGCAAAGATCTGCGTCGTCATTGATTTGGATGAGACACTAGTGCATAGTTCATTTAAGGTGAGCTGGCTGGTCCAAACCTCCTTCTAATGATTTAAGTCTGTTTCAATGATCTGTATTTATACAGCGCCAATTCAAAAACTTGTTATCCCAAGGCCCCTCACAGAGTCAATTAAATCAGCTCATACAGACAAAGCCAGCATTAATAATCAGGACATTACCTTGAAGAATGAACTCGTCCTGGATGAGCATATCAAGTCAGTGAACCATTGCTTGTATTGTACCATTGACCTGATTTGGTAATTCCTCAAACTCAGCATTTATCTAGCAACATTGTACAGGATAACTACCCATAACAATAAGAAACCTCCAGCAATACCAGGCTAAGAAAACAACTGGAGCTTTAACAAGTCTGAGCATGAACACTGACACTGAAAAAAAGAAAAATTCTCTGAAAGAGAAGGCAGCTTAGCTCAATAGATGACTATGTCCATGATAGAAACCCAATTGGGCAGACAAACTCAGAGCCAGTTTTTAGATTAATGAGATGAAAGACAGCACATACACGTAGTTCTGTTAAAAGCTAGAGCAAACGCTACATGTATAGCTACAAGGGAATCAGGACCAACTGAAAGGCAGGACCAGCTGTATCATCTATAACATTATGTTGTTGACAGGAGTAGCTTGGGCAATGCTCCTCCCGGTATGTTGTCCTACAGTAGGTAAAGAAATAGGCAGAGACAAAAAGCTCCTAGAAAGAACAGAGTTTTTAATTATAATGGTGAACAGCAAGCCTTTACTTTTTGTTTTGCATAAGTCAACACTTGTGTGCTGGATTAGCATGTTATGATCTGTAGAGGTTTTAATTCTTAAACGTTTGTTTGGTGTCCAAAGAAAGTCACGTGCGTTTAGGATGCAATGCGACAACAGTGAGGCAATTTCAATGTGTTACTTATTGTTTGATTGCTGTCTTGTCTTGCTTGGGTTTGTTTTTCATTGCATTTTAGATGTCAGATGAATAAATTACTGAGTAGGAGGAAGAGGTACCCAATTTCAACACGGCCATGGCCTTTAGCATACTCCTTAGGCATCTGCATGAACTCTTGTTTATTTCTACCTGCAGGCAGAGCATTGATATGGGGAAAAAGCCATCAGCCATTTGCAAATAAATAAAAAATTTTCTGACTGACTATATGTTCATGTAATTGAAATTTGCTGTGACGGCTCAGAACAGAAGGACCCAGTATTCAAGGCAAGACAGACAGTGAGAATTTCAAAAGGCGTTTAATTAAAACTGGATCTGCGGATCTGCAGTGGCAGCGGGTAGGTCTTCTTAGCAGAAGCCTCTACAGAAGAGAAGCACAGGTTAGTGATATTATGACAGAGATATTATGAACGCATGAGTCGCTAACCTGGTTTTACAGTTCAGTCCATGCTCAGAGAACGAACTTGGTTCAAGCCAGTCGGCTACCAAAAAGATGTGGCGGGTGCCTCCAGAGTGTCCCAGATGCTGTAGCACCGGAGAATAAACTAGGGTCCAAAGACAGATCAGGCAAACAGATCAGTACTGGAACAGGTAGGCACAGAGGAACATGAGTCCAAGCCAGGTAAGGCCAACAGATTAGAGAGGAGCAGGCAGGCTCAGTGGTTGAGAGGCAGAAGAGGTCAGGATCAGGTAATCAGAAACACTAAAGTAACGCTGGCCCACTCTCTTCACTGGCTCGAGAGGAATATTATTGCACTGATGAGGGGTAGAAAGCGCCTTAAATAGAGGCAGGAGCAGGTGGATCAGATGAGCAGTAATGAGAAACCGGGCAGAGTTAGCCAGGTGAATGAAATGAGTAATTAAGCGAGTCATCTGCGCCAAGATCATGACATTTGCATGCATTTATTTTTTCAAATGAATGTCACTAAATTTAAACTGGATTTAAGAGTTTGAAACTGGATGTATTGCATTTGACAATGTATTCTCTTGGTTTGAAATTTTAGCAAGTTAAATATAGCACTGGAGAATTGCAGAGTGGCATAACAAAGGCAGGACACTATACTAATTAAGCTGCCTTAACTAACTTCTAATGGCATATTAGTTTTTACAGTTAAAATTACAGTTTAAAAATGATACTTCTTAAACATTCAGTCATTTGACATTTAAATGTATGTCTTTAGTTCAAAAAATTGCTAAAATAAGTATAATGATAGAACAAACGCTAAATATGAAATTAATATTCAAAACAAAATTCTATAGCAAGTACAAAACAGGAGAGGGAAGAAATTAATACTTTTATACTTTCCTTTTTTGTCTATATATAGCATCTATAATAATATACATAACAAATTATATATAACAAATTATTAGTTGTATTAAAAAATTAAAATGATAGAATAAGTATTCATTTCAATAACAATAAACTGCATCCTCAGAAAAAACTAATTTTTTTGCAGTATACTTAAATCATCTTAATATAATGTAATAATTTGACAAATGTTTATGTATTGGCATTTTGTATCTGCCCTTTACTTACTAAGCATTATTTTTTTAAGCGTTCTTCTGACATTTATAATTTGTCTAATTTTTATTTAGTATATTGCTAAACTTTCCTACTCGCTAATATCACCTAAATTATCCGGGCAAGAGGAAGAATATATATTAAGAAGTCACCAGTTTTTCACACGGCAAAATAAAACAATTATGATAAACTTAAATAATAACACTAAAGCTTGAACATACATAATAGGGCAGGTAATCGGCACACATTAAAATGTGCATAAGAAAATGCAAGTGTCATACAAAAAGTCTCCAGCTTCAAGTTTGAACTGGTGATTACAGCTGCGATGCAAAGATGCTAAACAGCAGATCCACCATGTTGTTTACAGCTTACTATGATCCCATTATGGAGAAACAAGGAACAAGGAAAAAATATTTTTTATTTTTTTATTCATTGTATATGATTAAGGTTCTTTTATATGAATTAAATGCAGAATTCATTGTTTTTGTCAGGGGTTCCCAAAGTAGAGGTTGGGACTCCCCCAGGGGGTCACATGATAATTTTTACAATCATTGTCATGTGATCTTTGTTGTATTAGGAGGGCTAGAATGTATGATGAATTACATAAATGGGAGGATCCCATCCATTGCATACTATATTCTATAACTGTATTTATATGGGCTCAAATTACAGTAAATCTACTATTACATTATAAATTATTAGTAAATTAAATCAATAAATAATAAAATTATTAATAATACATTTAAAATGATCAAATGTCCTTTTGAAAGGGTATTTAAAAAGAATATAATTACTCTGTCTGCCTGCCTGCCTGCCTGCCCATCCGTCTGTCTGCTCGTCTGTCCGTTTTAATATGTTTATGTATATATAAATATGAATGTCAGAAAGAATAAAGCACTTATATATATATATATATATATATATATATATATATATATATATATATATATATATATATATATATATATATATTATTTTATTCCTCTCTGCTGTTTGTTTTATTACATTTAATTCCTTTAATGGTAGCAGGCAGAGGAGGAAGTTGTCAATTCTAAAAGGTGCGGTCTCTTGTATCGTGATAAAGTGTGTAATGAAACCCACGTGGTTTAAGCCCTTCTCATGTCACAGACTGTCCTTACAGGTTGTCACTGGATATGGCTATGAGCTATGTGTAAACAAGATCAAGCTCTATAAACTCCATTTCGTATGTAAAACAGATACTAAAATTCAGTTGAACATCGCACTGTCTACGAGTTTGGTTGCAGATTAAGAACTGAAAGTAGCCAACTGTGATGAAAATGATTGAATCTACTTTAATAAAGGTGGATTTTTTATATTTATTCTCTGAGTTATAAATAGATTTCCCATTTAAAAAAGAGAAAGTAAAATTATATTTAGCTGTTTTTGTTACTAGGGAGTAAAATCATGCAACATTGCGAGTGCACACAAAAATATGGTGTTAATAAAAAGGAAATAACATTTCATACAATACTTTATAACAAAAAAAATAAATCAAACAAATTAAAAATCAACAAATTTGTTAAATTAAAGTTACACAATTAAAAACATAGCACACCTTTGAGCAGGGGAAATTATATTAATTGAAAAAGTATTCAATTTAATTCTGTAATTCTGTAAAAGTTTAAAAAACAATCCACTGGACTTGGTTTCCAAGGTTTGAAACCTTGGAAACCAAGACCAGTGGATGGTTTATTAAACTTTTACAGAATGACTATGACCTGGATGACAGAGAATCTTCACCAGCATATTAAATTTAATGAGTATTTAAAGTAAATTGACTTAAAATGAAAAGCTATGTCATGCACTAAACCACTTGTATGTACAAATGTATAAAATGAATCTAATACAGTTACTGTAACGTATAATATTATAATAATTATTATAATCAAATAAGAAATTAAGTCAAACAATCATCCAAGGCATAATCTCAAAACAAAAATAAACAAAACAAAGGAATTAAATGTTGTAAAACAGCCGAATATGTGTACGACTTTCTTTTTACTGTAAAATGTAAAATGATTATAAATTTTGTTATAGTCTATATAAACAAAATCATTGCATGAAAAAAGCAAACAAATTAATAAATGATAAAATAACTAATATAAACCTGCAGCATAATAAATGTTCCCAATTTAAACCCTTGCCAAGTCATAGGCACTCCTGAAGCGTGTCACTCTATCTTGCTATTAGGTGTTTGTAGAGAAGGTCAGACTCCACCGAGCTCGCATTCAACAGAAGAGATATATTTAAACTCATTATTGCTTTGACACAGTTACTGAGAAAAGCACCAGGTGGCACAGCAAAGGAGTTGGTAGCAGACAGCTGCTTAAAAAAACAACCAAAAAAAAAACATTTCTAGCTGTTAGAAATACTTTTTTATATGATCATATAAAGAACCATAGGTAATAAGTGATGCATTTTAACTGACCCTAATTGAATAACAGAGGCTAGAGAAAAGGTGCGAAGATATACAAAGCAGGTGCTGGTTACATAGATTTTAGAGTGTATTAAGAGACAGAGAGGTCGGTTATTTCTTCCCACCAACACAGCTGTGTATATCAGTTACTGCTTCAGTCATCCTTTTTAAAGGAACACATTGGCAGGACGAGAGAATGGGGTTGTGAAGTTTTCGATTGCTTTCTGCAGAAATCAAACTCACTCTTTATGTCAGCATTAGGGTTTGAATTTAAGTCATAAATGCAAGAACTACCATGAACAGGGTTGGAGAAATAACTCCCAATTAAAGCTGTGTCCGTTTCGGCTCTTCTTCGTTAATAAACACCTCAAAAGCTACTTAAATGTCTTTAAAGGGACTAGATAATTACTGTTTGTGATCATACTACATTGTGCATACCCTCTGTCTGCACTATTGAAGGTTTACTTACTGTACCTGAGCCTGTTAGTTGTTTGGAAGGGCTGACTGACATTCATGATATACTCTCTTGAAATATGTTGCAAAAATAGTTTTAGTTCTCTGTAATTGGGACTGATACATTTGCAAATGTAAGTGCAAAGTCATTATTTTTTATTCAAAGAAAGCAACAAAAGCAGAAACCTGAGTTATTTGCAATAATTTTACATTGGTCTATCTCCTTATGACACAGAAAGATTTGATTTATGCGTACACAAGCCAGAAAACCATTGCAGAAAATATTTTTAAAACAAATATGCTGCACTTTCATTTTGCAGAATAATTACATGCAATCATTTCAAGCAAAGCTGAACCAACCAAACATAGTATCCAGTTTAAAACACTAAAACTAATTATTTCCGCATGACCTCACAACACCACAAATATAGCACATGCTTGAAGTGATTTAACATTTGAGAAGTGCAATTCAAATACTGAGAATTCACACAGTCAATCTTTTATTTTTTTTAGCCTAGCAATTTTGTATCACTGGTGTTTTACTGATTTATAAGCAAGGCTTAAATGGCTTCAATATTACTTGAAGAAAATAAATTGTCATTTGTAATGTTTTATTACACCATTTAAAATTCTTTATGAATCAATTCACATTATTTTCACATTGTTTTTTAATGATGTTGCTTATTTTTCTTTTCCACCAGCCTTTAAGCAATGCAGATTTTATCATTCCAGTGGAAATTGAAGGGGTTGTTCATCAGGTAGGAACTTGAATCATTCTATGCTGTTTTAAAAGTTACCATTAACCATTCATTATTAGAAAAAAATAGAGCTTAAAACTGAAAAATGAATACTGATCAAAGTCTATTTTTATTGCAACCCCAAAAACATGAATTTGGCTTAAAAACCTGCTGTTTTATTAGCTCAAGTATTAGGAAATACAGCATAAAAGTCTCTGTCCTATTGGCCTGGCAGGGCTGCAGCTCTTTATATTGATGGCCCCAAGGAGTAGGTTCCTATTTCAGTGTCTCGATAAAATAAGGAGAGCCTGCGACACTTCTCAGAAATACTGGCCATCAATCTCAATATGTATCACATATTATACCCAGCTCATCAGGGCTCAGTGGCAGGGACATCACTCTACAGGCCTTAAATGCCAACTGTAGTCTGTTGTGCTTGTTTCTTCTAGAAGAGAAAGACCTTATTAAAACATGATAATAATTGGGCCTGGGTCTGTTTCAAGTACTCCAGGATTGGCTTGTAAAAGTGGGGAAAGCCAATTCTGGATGACTTGGTTCAGAAACAAGGCTGCCAGCATCATGGTAGAATTAGATCAAAGGATAAGAGATTAAAAAAAGAAATTAAGAGATCCAATCAACAGCTCACATGGCATAACAATAAGTCTGTTGCATGTTTGTAAAATAGAACAGATTCCAAATTTCAAGGGAATCTCACACAGATGTTCTTTATGTGTCTATGTCCAGGTGCACGTACTGAAGAGACCCCATGTTGATGAGTTCCTCAGCAGAATGGGGGAGATGTTCGAATGTGTTTTGTTCACAGCAAGCTTATCCAAGGTTTGCTCACCTACTCCTCCAGAGATTACTGTCATGCTGGAAACAATATAGTCTTTCGCCGCTAATTAAGAAAAAAAAAAAAGACAAATGTCTCTGGGTTACATCACGGAGTATTTATGTTTTTACTAAAAGAATATCTTTAAATTGCCTTTTTATTTGACTCTTTACAAATAAAACATTATGTGATGAGCAGACAGACACCTAAGTAGTAAAGCACTGATGCATCTATAAGCCTAAAAGTAAGTGACTAAGTAATGTTTATATATATGGCACCTTTCACAGACATAGAGGTCACAAAGTGCTTCACAAAATTAAAATACAAATAAAATACATTTACAGTCACAAAAGACATGATCATAAAACAACCCTTATTCTACTGGAATTAAAATGCTTTCTTAAAAAAAAAGATTTTCAGTTCACTCTTAAAAACATCAACAGAATCAAGTAAGCGCAACAAACCTATTAATAAGTAAAATAAAAAATAACCTCTGTTTTTTCTGAACTGATTTCAGGTCTGAAGTTCCCACACTGTTCGTCAAGCGCGTCCATGTCATATAGGTCTGACCTAGCAAACAATCAAAGCGTCTTATTCAAAATGAATTTTGCAGAGACGCTGGAGTACAGTAACCAGCATCCAGCTCAACTCAGACAGCAATAGAAACTCTATGTAGGGTGAAAAAAAAAAAAAAAAAACCTTGTCAAGTATGAGTGCAAGCTACATGAACAAGCAGTTTATTGTGCCACATGTGTTTTGGCCAAATGTCGCAGAATCATTAGAAAACTCTGTAATGCTTCTTTAAATTGAGGTCTACTTGAAGACCTTTTTTGTTGAATTAGGTTTCGACTTTCACCTATATATCTATACTTATGTATCTATTTACAATTCCTTTTTTCTGGCAAAATTGCCTTTCTGTCAGAAGTGGTTGCATGTCTTAATATGGAAGTTTATTGCATTGACCAAAATAAAAAAAAATCAGACTGCTTATCTCATAATTACAAGTTTACTATCTCGTAATTATGAGAAAAGATCTCGTAATTACGAGATCTTGGGATTACTACTTGTGGAGCAAGCATGCAGCCATATGGCCATACGCAAAAATCCATCAACAGCTCCATAAAAACAGTTTCCGTATAGATTTTGTTTTTCATATGAATCGACATGCCACATAAAGTTGGGACCTGGTCGTTTTAAACAATTCTGAAGCCTCAGCTGTACTCCTTGCAGATCTAGGATTTTGAGAAGGTATCGGCGGACAGTTATTTGGGACACCACCAAGCCAGCAGCTGGTTCCGTTAGGTTATATCCAAGTAAGTAGGTATGACGTCATCCGCACATGCGGACTGGAGTCGTAACAGGAAGCCCGGGCAACAGGCGGCTACGCTCTACCCCTTCTTTTCATTCGGCTAGCTAATCTGAATCGTTCAATTCCATTTCGAGAGCAAGATCATCTGTGGTAGCAGCACTAGACATCTTCCAGGCATGTGAAGAAAACTAGCAGCAGTTCAGCAGACAGGATGAATGAATGGTAGCCATATAAATATAAAAAAAATAACCGCGGATGCCTGGGGGACAGTGATTCCCCTACATGTTATGAATGCTGGAGTACCATAAAGAATAAATTATGAACAGTTTAGTTTGTGCCTTCAAGTCGTTGCCCATAGGAGGACGTTACCTGGATATAACCTAACGGAATATCTTCAGAACAGCTCCAAATAACACAAAACTCATATGGGTGAGTAGAACACGATGTAATAACATAAAATCAAGGGCCAAATATTAAAAAAACGGCATTCCCCTTTAACATTTGTGCCACAATTTTTGCAGATTACTCAGAACATGACCACTTAATGCAGGGACTGAAAAAAATCTGCACATTCATTTTTGCGACCATTATCATGAATCCTCAACGATCAGCCCCTCGCAACGTAGAGTTGGAGTGAAATGACAAACTGTATGCTAATAATACTGCATTGGAAATTAAATCANGCAGTGAAATAGCTCACGTTTTTATACACGCAAACCTTTGATAGATCCGGCCCTAAGTAGTAAAGCACTGATGCTTATAAGTAAGTAATGTTTATTTATATGGCACCTTTAACAGACATAGAGGTCACAAAGTGCTTCATAAAATTAAAATACAAATAAAATACATTTACAGTCACAGAAGTTATGGTTATAAAACTACCCTAAATGTACTGGAATTAAAATGCTTTCTTAAACAAATAGGTTTTAAGTTCACTATTAAAAACATCAACAGAATCAAGTAAGCGCAAGGAACCTATTAATAAATAAATTTAGAACCTATTTTCCTGAACTGATTTCAGGTCTGAAATCGCGCTGTTTGTCAAATTGGTCTGACCTAGCAAACAATCACAGCGTTATATTAGGGTGACCACATTTGGGTTTCTCAAAAGGAGGACATTTGGGGGAGCGACCGAACCGGCCCGGTGATGGCATCCTTTCCCCCACCTTGCCAAAAATATAAAAAGGCTTGAAATGAAATAAAAATGAGTGTGCCCCATCTGGCTTAAGTAGTGGAACGGTTTGACATAGATTTGGAGTCAGTGGGTCACATGATCTGGAAACTATTAAAGAAATATCAATTATTTTTCTAATAACAACTGCTTAAAAATATACAAAGGCCTAAAATTGAATAAAAATTTGTTTTTCCCATCTAATGTAATAAATGTAAGCTAATGTAGTAAAACTATTTCACAAAGAATTTCAGTCAGTAGGTCACATGACTTGGAAGCTATTGAAGAAAAGTCCCAACTCTTGTCTTTAAAAATATCTTAAAAATTAAAAATATCTTAAAATTGCATAAAAGCAACTGTGCTTGACATATGTTATCTATTCGCATGATTTTATAATAGTTCCGTCTTAGCTGGTTTAGATAAGGAATTTTTTGATTTTTGTTTCTCAAGAGAGCTTGGTACAAAGATTAGTTGACAGTCCCTAACTGCACCACCGCGTGTAGGAGGAGGGAGCAGCTCAGAGATGCCGGCCGAAGTCGAAGTCCCTCAGTCGAATTAGCCGTTTGCTAGATCCTGCTGACTCCGCGGAGCTTGAATATCCAATATCCAACTTCAAACCAACTTCACCACGGTGCTGACAACTCGGTTCTGCTGCATTGTATCCCAAACGATTTGGAAATTTCCCCCGGACATTTTTTTTAGATATGAAAAGTAGGACATGTCCGCAAAAAGAGGACGTCTGGTCACACTAGTTATATTCCTGATGGATTTTGTAGATACGGTGGAGTGACCAGCATCCAGCTCAACGTAGACAGAAATAGAAACTCCACGTAGGGTGAAAAAATAATATATAAATATTTATGTATCTATTAACAGTTCCTTTTTTTTTGGCAAATTTGCCTTTTTGTCAGGAATGGTTGCATGACTTAACATTTGCGCCACTATCTTTGCAGATTACTCAAAACATGACCACTTAATACAGGCACTAAAGAAAATCTGCACATTAATTTCTGCGGGCCTTATCATGAATCCTCAACGATCAGCCCCTCGCAACGTAGAGTTACAGAAACTGTATGCTAATAATACTGCATTGGAAATTAAATCACCAAACACCAAAATGCAGACATGGTTATGTGGAGACAGAGAGAGACTAAAACATCAGAATATTTCTCACTATATAAAGTATTCTGTTGACGCAGCTTTTAAAGAAAACTTTTGTGCAATGGACTAAAACTTTTGGTGAAATATCAGCAGATATTACATCAGTATGAACGCTACCAGACCTGCAGTGTGTTCAAGTAGTACCCTAAGAATTACTGGCTTGTTCTACAAAGAATTGTCTTAACAGCCATTTATTCTCTTCCACTGCAGTATGCAGATCCTGTGTCTGACCTGTTGGATAAAGGTGGAGCTTTCCAAAGTCGGCTCTTTCGAGAGGCGTGTGTCTACCACAAAGGGAACTATGTTAAAGATCTTAGTCGTTTGGGGAGAGACCTTAAAAGGGTCATCATTATAGACAACTCCCCAGCCTCCTACATCTTCCATCCAGACAACGCGGTACGTTATATATACATGATGTAGCCTGTAAATTTCAAACGCTAAGTATTCCTACTTGCTAAAATGACCTTCTCATTCCTTTCTTTCTCACAACTTTAAACATTCAGGTTCCCGTCGTCTCCTGGTTTGACGACATGTCGGACACTGAGCTTCTGGATCTTATCCCGTTCTTTGAGAGCCTCAGCAAAGTTGATGACATCTATGATGTCCTGAAGAAGCAGAGGACTTCAAGTTAACAGAGGCAGGATATTTGGATGCAAAGATCACCAGCGAATGACAATATGGGGCCATGGAGGCTGGTGAGCCGCAGGCTCCATCGTGCTTCCTTTAACAAGGACCATGCTTAAAAAACATTTAAAAAAAGATATGTTTTATCTAAACTCATAATCCTACAGCATGTTGGATAAATCCATCCATTACATTGGAATGCTTGAGACTTACCATGAGATAACATGGCCTCTGTAGATAACTTGAGAGCACTATGTGTGTGTGTTGTTATTATGTGACAGCTGTGACCTTTGTAAGTGTGCGGCAAAACTAGATTGTGTGAACAGTTGCGCAGCCCACTACAAATAGTACTTGACAAATGAACTACCATTAGTCATTTTAATGTCAGTATAATGTAGCATTTGTACAATGGTTTCATTAAAAGTATGACACAGAAAATAACACATCAAAGAAAGGTTTTTTTTGTATTCCCTTTAATATAATTGATACCAATATCTGAATACATCTGCAGCTGATGAAGTTTACTTCTGTATTTAAAGGCAAAAACTTTTTTTAATGCATGATCTGATGTGTACAAAAAAGTTATAAACCCAGCTGTTTATTTATTTACTGTTTGCTTTTGAACATACCTTTTTACTGTTTATGTGCTAGAGAAAATAAAAGAAGTAAAACCCTAGGTTACTGAAATAAACTAAGAAAAGAGCTGTTTTATTGTGTAATGCACAGAACAAAAAATATATTCAACTGAATAATAATTTTTCTGTGATATCGTGACCATGTGACCCTTCGTCTGTGTGCAGTCTGTGAATAAATTAACTGTTTAGTAGTTATGGATAGTATCCTGTCTCCAGTGACAGCAGTCATAACCATCTGTGGATATCTCAGTCTCTGCAGATGCAGACCTAAATTATCATTGGAGAGTCAAGCTAACAGCTTACTTTTATACTGATTACTTTGAATAACTGTTTGCTTTACTTTAAGATGTTTGCTTTATTCTGGGCCAGTAATTTGAAGAGCAACGGTAGTTATGTCTAGCCTCGTGAGACCATCCTGATCTCGCGAGCTTTCAAGGTTTCACTCGCTAATCAGTGTGGAGACTCTCCGTTGAAGAAAATTTGGAGCCGTTCACCAAACTAACGTCCAATCAGCGTTGGCTTTGAGGCGGGTTGAGGTGTGACGCAACGAGAAGCGCGACAGTTCAGTCTAAAGAACATGGCGGCTTCAGCCGATGAAACTAGCATTAGCGTGGCTATCAAGCAAGTTTTATCGGAATTACAGAGTATTTCTTTACTGAAAGAAGAGCAAAACACTGCTCTGGAGGCTTTTCTCAGAGGAAAAGATGTTTTTGCTCTTCTCCCGACTGGTTTCGGCAAGAGTTTGATCTTTACCGCAACCACCCAGGGTTGTCATTGAATATATTATTATTGCACAAAATAAGCAGTTTGTTTATTGTTTTCCATAATTTCAGTTTAGAAAATCAAGGAGAAATTATCAAAGAGATTGAACCCTACTAGATAACATCTTAAAAATGGCAGAAGTTTAGCTTTTTATTGATGACAGCAGTAATTTCTACCCACAGATGTTATATAAAGTGTATAACTCAGAATCAATTCAATTCCAGTTTATTTAAGCAGCACAGAAACTAAAACAACAAATGTTTTACTTAAAGCACTTTACAAAAAGGAAAAGTCAAAACGTATATACAGAAATATATAGTCCATTCAGCCATCGAACAGAACTTTCAATCTATAATGACTCTTCAGAAAAAAACATTTAATTTACCTTTGGGATTTTAATACAGAACAAAAAATATAATAAAAATATTATATTTCCATATTTTGACGAGTAAAAATGATGTCATTCTTATATGAACCATAGCTGTAACCTTGCTACTCTTACCCAGGGAGTGTTCTATCTTTCTAATTAGTAGTTTGTTCCTATTTTTACATTACTTCACAAATAAATGCTCTTAACTTGTTTCTTATTTTTCAGCTCTTAGTTTCTTTCTACTGTAAATAGCTCTTAGCTCTAAACTATAGAATTATTCACAATAAGGGATTTTTTTTCTTGACATTATTTAGAGGTGCAGTTAGTACATTTTAAACATCATTTATCTTTCCTGGATCACATGAACCAAACCACAAACATGTCTTTAATTATCCCAGTCATCTAGCTGTTTATTGAATATACATTTTTTTGTTAGACTTAAACCAGTTGCAGTTAAATCACTCCACCAAACAGCAGTATTTACAGGTTTTTTTTCAGCTTCTACATTAACAAAAGATTCACTTTGAACAATCAACCATGCCTATTTTAAGCTTCTTTTTCACCGCTTTCAAACAATAAACATCAATAATACATTATTAAAGCAGGCATATCAATATATTAGAGGAGTGCAGTTTCTGCCTTTCTGTCAGGGATTCCCTGTGAACAAAAAATAGAGAAATGTTAGATTTTGAAAGGAAATGTGTTATAAATCCAAACTATATACATGAGAAACCTTAACGATTGCATACATGTGCGATTTTGAAAAGGTTCTGACATATGAAGTTATGAAATTATATTTCACACTGCAAAAACGATCTAGAAATAAGTAAAAGTTTCTTAAATTAAGTGTATTTACCCTTAATTTCAGTCGGTAAATAAGATGATCTGCCAATGGAATTAGTATGTTTACTCTTAAAATAAGATAATTAGAAAATATGCACTTGAAATAAGAGACTGCAATTATTTTTCTTATTTTAAATGTAATTTGTCTTTTTCCATTGGCAAAATGTCTCACTTACCTCCTCAATTCAAGACAAAATGCACTTATTTTAAGAAAGTGGATTAAATAGCAAAAACTCAACAAAGGCACCCCAACGTAACAATAATATATTTATATCCTCTTTCACTTAAGTTGTTTTTAACAGTTCTTTGATCTTATAAACATCACATTATAACATTACAGGGTCAAATTGTTTACTTTTCAGCTTTAGTGATGATTGGAAAATCTGAATGTTTCTGTATTTGTAAAAAAAAAATGCTACTTTATAATCAATAAAAAATTATGTAAAACATACAGTACATTATGTTCACATTTCGCAAAAGTCGAAACAATAATTCCGTTCTTAGGCTTGAATCAGAACTGCTGATATTTTTATTTATATTAATGTAACTTATATGAGAGCTTAAATGTATTCATTTTTAACCCTTTTTCATGTCCTGCTTGTAGTTCAGGTTAGGTTGGATCACCTCATCATTTTAAGGAGGCTCAAATTACAACAGCTTCACTAACTGGGTCAGATGATTGAACTCAACTCAGTTTAGTTTAAGGCATCATAATAAAACTAAAATTAGTTCACAGCTCTCCTGAGCAGCAGCTTCTTGGACTACTTGCCCTGTGTGGCCTGACCTACATACTCACTCATAGAGTCCGACCATAAACACCCTATATTATTTACAGAATGTGGCACTGGGAGCTTAACCATTTCATGCATTTATTAATGTGTCCCACACATGCAATGCCAAGTCTGGCTACGCACTTCAACACACCACCAGGAAAATTAAAGCTGTCTTTTTTGATCGCTCAATTTTTTTTCAATTCGATTGAATCATCTGAACAGTTTTATTTTTTATTTTTACACTTTTTATTATTCAATGAAAAACTTTTGAACTTACTGACCTTAAAATATATTCCTATCAGATGAGTAAAACTCCATGCTTTGTTATTATCGCCATCTACTGGTTCAAGTAAAATGTTGCATTGATGGTAAAGAAAGCATGTCTAAGATTTTTTGTTGCAATTAAACCTAATGACCTTTTAGAAGTCCAATTTGTTTTTACAGTGATGTGAAAGAGTCTTTTGCACTTTTCTGATTTCTTTTTTTTGTTTGTTTGTTTGTTTTTTGACAAACCTAAGTATTTCAGATCACAAGGCAAATGGAAATATTAGTCATAGACAACACATATAAACACTAAATAAATTTTTAAAATAAAGGTTGTTATCATCAAAAGGAAAAAAAAAACAAAATAAAAAACATGAGCACCACATTTAACTGTTGGTATGATGTTGTTTTTTTGAAATTCAGTTTATTTTCAAAAGTCCTAAGAATCATCTAGCTATGTCCTGTAAAAATTTAGATAATTGTTAATGTTTTTTGAACTGTTTGGGTGTTTTATTTTTTTTCCTTTTAAAAAAATATTTACTTGTGTTGTTGATCTAAAACAACAGGTGTCATTAACAGTTATTATGATTTGCACAACTACAAAACATACAGTTGGTGGTGAGGATGTTCAACCTTTTCACATGTTTCGATATAGCCTCTTGTATTTAACTATTCAGTAACAATAATTTGACTAAACAATAGCCACATTTGTTCATTGATTTCTAGTCCTGGCTAAAATTAAAAAAGAATGGGGAGAAAAACATTTTTTGCAATTGTTAAAATTTTGAATGACCCCTTAAGCAATACCCTTGTGTGATAACCTTGTATAATAATTCTGCTATTATATATATATATATATATATATATATATAGCCTTTTGACTATTTTAGCTGATGTAACAAGTACCCTTCTCCAATGTGAGATCAATAAAGTCAATCAATCAATCAATCAATCAATCAATCAATCAATCAATCAATCAATCAATCAATCAATCAATCAATCAAGGCGATCACCTTAAATTTACAGAACTGAAGAGAGTTTATAAACATTTTTTGCCGATTATGTCTACATCTCCTTGAAGCTGCCAGACATTCGTAATCTTTTAAAGTGGGCCTTATCTGTAAAGTGACAGATCATCCTTAGTTGATTACTTACTGACCGGATGCAAAGTTTAGCACACTAATAGGCTAACCTCAGAATGAGTATTAAAAACAAATACCCATTGAATGAAATGCAGCAGTCCTTTTTTAAATTTGTTATTTTATTTTAAGTTAACAGGAAGTGTAACCCTGCATAAACCCGCCTGTGCCTTCTGTCCAGAGAAAATTATACGTTAAGAGCATTGCTAAATTATAACACAATCCATGAGCAACTGGTCACACCCCCTGAGCCAAATGTAAAGAACACTGCAGATTTTATTTGGAAATTATTGAAAAGAAAAACACACACAGAAGCTTAACATGAAGACAACCAGGAGAGAAAAAAAAAGCTAGATTTAACTAGAATCTATTACATATTAATACAATATGCCAATTATCACAAAGAAAGATGGATTTTGGGTCCATTCAAACAGACTTTTATCTGTAGAAGAGCTAAAACCATAGGTGTTTAGCGCCAATCCATCCTGGATGTTTTAGATGGTTAAAGAATTGACCTATGTGTCACCCTTTAAACAGAATACAGAGAGACTAGTTTATGATCTGAAAAAATGATTCTCTGCGGTTCTGTGTTTGGTACCTATTGTGGCTTCTTGATCAAATATAGTAAGTAAGAACTCACTGGAAGAAGAAAGCTTTGTCTCTCAGACTTTGAATGCTTAGAATATAACTCTGCCTGACTGAAATAAAACACTCCAGAATCTTTCTAAAGAAGCTGTTCATGCATAGTATTTATTCAAGCCAACAAAAAACCTTGATATTCCGTCTTTATATTTATTTTACTTGTTAACTGTTATTTTGTGATGGAATAAAAACCTGATTTGCATGTTTTTCACGACAGTGTTTATTTATCTTTTTATAATTGTATGACAGTTGTTATAAAGGAAATGTGTCCCTTATCAAAGGTCTTTTTGTCAGTTGCAAAACGAGCAAAAGGGAATGATTTGTGGCTTTGTGGACGGGAGAGATGTCTGCACGTTCCTCCCAACTGCATTTGGCAAGAGTTTTATTTAGCAGGTAACTACGCTAATTATTAGACAAATCAAAAATGTTATATGTCTCAACTGCTACTGCTGCTGGGATTGGCTAAAAGCTTGTCATGGGAGGCAGATGCCACTTGGTAATTTACCCCATCAGCTGAATGTCCCTTCCTTTTTGAGAACACTTTCCATGGGAGCCTTTCCAGATGGATACTGTGTAGAATTCAAATTCAACTACACACTATCAGTCTGGCTCAAGCAAGGTTACTAGACCAGGGTCTTCAATTCCAGACCTTAAGCTCCAGTGTCCTGCCCCTTTAAGATGTGCCTCTACTTCCACACACCTGCATCAAATGGCTAAATTAACTCAATATGCAATCAAGAACTCTATCCGAATGCAATGCCATGATAAGTGCTGTGTTATGACTCAGGCTTCAATGGGGAGTGTTTATTTTTTCCATCGTTGAAAACCATGCCCACTTCCAACCAGAGCAACTCAGCTCACCTCACCTCCTGACTTTATAAGCCCCCAAACAGTGATCTAGTTAGTGCCAAACTTTATGAAAGTCTTTGTGGTAGTGAATTATCCAGCATTCCTTCCTGTCCTGCCTGCCTTTTGTTCCCAGATTTTCCTGTCTTGACTTGCCCTCCCTGGATTCTAGTGATGGATAGATTAGGCCTCATGGAGGGTTTTGGCATATTCCCCAAACTGCATTGATACTGGGTCTGTACTTTGTAACTGTGTTGTACTATACTGCCACCTGCTGGATCTTAAACAACATTGCATCAGAAACATAGATTCAATCGCCTATTCAATTCTATGGTATGTTGTTTTTTTTTTTTATATGTCAATCCAAACTATTTAAGTTTAAAATGTCTTTGATATATTTCAAACTTAAAATAAATACAGTCTATAATGTCAATGTGTCATAATGAGAAAATTAAAGTGAACGTATTGTGGATGTAATGTAGATCGACTGGCCATCAAAACAAGTCCTTGATTCGTCCTTCATTTTTTTTTAATATTTTTTTTATAAAAAAAGATGTTTACAAAGTTGTGGTATTTAGGAAATGTCTTTTTCTTTTTTGAGGAAAGTTATACAAACCTCTTTGTATGGCAAAATGTATGATGGGTCAGCAGTTCTCTGAACTCCCCGATGTCATTGTTGAGAGGGTGGTGACCCTTAATAATAAAACTCAAAACCTGTATTAAATTACCAGAGACTCACAGCTGGACTGGGTGTGCTTCTTTATTTAAACCAGAAGTGTTTCATACAGACATGGGACCCTACCTCTTCCTTTTAAATGATAAGGATGGTTAATGAGTCGCTACAGTCACCTACTCTTGTTGATCCCTCGCTCTAAAGATTGAACATTGAGGAGGTACTTTTATTTATATATGGCAGTTCAGTACAAATAGGACATTTATCCTGCAAAAAAACCCCAAAACATTTATTTGGAATCTGATAGATGAATCTAATTGTTAATATTAGATTAAAATGTTTCACACTGTTGAAACATGTTTTCGCCATAAAAAAATGTCTGGACGCAAAGAACTCTGTCTTTGTTTCTTTAACATTTGCTAATCCAAAGTGTTTCTTATAAGCATTCCTGCCTTAATTCTCGGATCCAAGGTCTTTCTGATCACTACAGTCTGACTTTAACAGAGAGATTCATTTTGCCATTCACTACATTTGATTAACTTGCATATTCAGTGGTTCTTTTTCAGAATGCCAAAAGGCCAAGGGCTGTCCAGATCTAAAGAGGGCTAAAGAGTTGATTTCCTTCTCATATAAGTGCCCTTATTGTTGACTCTGTGAATGGTAAAGAAACGGGAGCTAGAAGCTACAATTTTTTTCAGATTAAGTCCTGCTAATGACTTGATTATTTGACTCTGGAGTGCTGACACAGACAAGTTGTTGGCCACTTGAAGACCCCTATCCTAGATGATATTTGCTGTAAAGCAACAATGCTAAAAGCTGCTCTACTGTGCAGCACTGCTGCCTCCCAGCACATATGAAAGCCTGTTTATTTGCACCAGCAATAAAAGTGTACTTTATTCAATAACAAGACCACCAATACTATTAGATCAAATTGCACATCAGAGATTTGAGGACCAGGACTTAGACCTCTCACTCAAAGCAAACCCTTTTCAGAGGAATCCCTTTAAATATATTCTGTATGTCAATGTTTTACTAAATATTTGATAGATTTTACCAAGACCTTGAGAATGTTTGGAGAACTACTGATTTAAAACCACCAAAATATTACAATAAATGTCTAGCTCCCAAAAATGTAGAAAGAGAGATGGCTGAAGATCTGTTATATAAAATACAGCAGATTTGCTTAGCAGAACATAATATAATTTATCTTTACTTACCCACTACCCGAAGCTGAGCTTGACTTTTTGCTTTCCCGGATAAAAACTCCACCACACCGCTCATGTCAGGGGTGGTTTGGCGGAGGGTCAGCCTGTGCACCGTTCCCATCTTCTCCAGGCGTATCCGAGAGCTTGGCTGCAGGGGCTCCCCATTCAGACTCCAAACCGGGGATCTAAGGACAGGGGATGAGACCTCGCACTCAAAGCAGGCCTCCTCGTTGGCCGGGACCTCCACATCTCTCAGCTCCCGGACCATCAACAAAGACTGGGCTTGGCGAGTCCAGAGAAGCAGAAGGAAAACATTAACTGGGTTTTCATAAATGAAACCTCTATTAAAAGTGTTTATAAATTTTAAACGATAAAAAAATATGAATTAAACAATTACCAATATATACCATTTCACATAAAACCAAAAACAAACATTTCACTGTACAAAACAAAACAACTGTATCAAAAAAAAGAAGTGCAGTTAATGCGTTTACCTTCCACAGTCAGTTTGGCAGAGCATGTATATTCTCCAACCTGCACACTATATGTGCCTTCATCGTCCAAGGCCACCTGCTGGATGATCAGTTTGCGGTAGCAGCCTTCGCTTGAGATCTCAAAGCGTTCAGAGGGCAGGATAACATTGCTGCCTTTGTACCAGCGGATGCTACATCTTGGGTTCGACACCGTGCAGTCCAGGATGACTCGGCTCTTCTCCAGGGCAGTCGTATCTTGCAGGGGTTTTACAATGTTGACCGGAAGCTCTGAAAGGGGAAAAGAAAAAGTAGCTATTAACTTCTAATTGCCTGATTTTTCTGGGCTTTTTGTTTTTGTCTTTTGGTTTTCTAATTTATTCCTAATTTAGAGTTAGTATTTTTGTCTTCTTATCCCAGTCGGCCTCGGCAGATGAGTGTGGTTCTGCTGGAGGTTTCTTCCTAATAAAAGTTAGTTTTTCTCTCCACTGTCGCTACAAGCACGCTGTGAGGGATTACCTTCGATTCAATGAGGCGATACAATCAACTGGTTTTCCTTAACCAGAAAAAATTGAATCAAAATGAGTGTATGATCTGGTTGAACTGCAAAGTGCCTTGAGATGACATTGCGCTATATAAATAAACTGAATTGAATTAATCAAATACATTGAACCTTAGAGCAAATCAAACATCACACTGTGATGGTAATATTACACGATGAAGATTATAGCTACCAGAATAGTTTTAGTATTCTATAGCAAGCTACCAATTCACCAAGCAATCTTTTAGCAATGAAATGTTCTCTTTTTTCTTTACCCTAAAAAAGGGAAATAACCTTTGAGTCTTTTCATATTTGTAGATTCAGGAGGGTGGCACTTCAAACTTTTGTTTTAGCAAAGTAATGCTAATATCGCTACAAGGATAGCTAAGATTATAAAAACATTCCTTTTTCGTCAGCTAGCGTAAGTATAATTGTATATTATAAGTATAATTTATAGTATATTTGTATTGCGTTGCTATCTTACAGATGAATTCTTGTATATTTTGACTAAAAACCCAGAAACAACTTGCAAGTCTGGTTTCAGATTTGAAACCTTTTATGAAAGTTAAACTGGTTCTATATTTCGCTGCAGTTTGACATGTAATTGCTAAATAAACTGTGGAGCAGCATGAAACATTATATGAAAGGTCAATGAATTATCAGCTTTAGTTCTGCTATGTCCCTGCATTCCATTTCCTCTGCTCACCAGAACATGAAACCCAAGTCTCTCAATCTATGAATACATTTAGAACCTACTAAAGAAACTGACACTTAAAATGGGAATACATATTTTGCTCTCAGCAGATTTATGGCCTGTTAAGAGACACATGGTTAGTTCTGACCATAGACTTTATTTAAGAAATATTTATTGACTATATCAATACAAAACAGGGAAAATACTGCAAGCTATTTCGTTTAAATAGATTCCAATACAATATTATCACACAGATATCTCTGTGATGTTAAAGAAGGCAATGCATTCTGGGAAAATGACATATGCTAGGTCCTGTGGCACTAACTCTGTTTAGCCAAAACAGCAATAAGTAACTTTAAACCTCATCGGTTTGAACTGCAGGGCGTTGAAATTTAAGGCATTTGGCTGGATTTATTAACCAGTTATACCTATAATTATTTAGCCCAGATGGGATTTCTTTACTGTCATTAAAGTGTCAGAGTCTTGGTTTGTTAGTTCCTGTTTTTCTTGGTTTTCCATTTGTTTTCCTCTGCTGCCCTCTTGTGTCCTCTTTCCCTTGCTCTGTTTTCTGTTCTGCCCTCACCTGTTTTCAATTCCTTCGTTAGCCCTCTCTTTGTCTCTGTTCTCTTTAAAAGCCCTCCCTCTTCAGTTCCTGTTTGCTGGATCCTCGTCTAACATCTGCCTGCCTTCCTCGTCTCTCCCTGGCTCCTAGAGTTTTGGTTTACTCCTGACGTCTCCTTGGTTCTGGTGCGTTTGTTGTTTTCTGTTGGATTTTGATCCCAGCCCCTGGTCCTGTGAACCTTAATAAACCCACTTTAATTCACCTCTGCCAACTGGTCTCTGCATTTGGGTCCTCCAACAAACACCGCTTTCATGACATAAAGCACTTTACACTACATTCAGTCATTCACCCATTCAAGCACACAGTCACTAACACCACCAGGCCCTCTGGCCACCCTCAGTAGACAATAAAGGTAAAGTGCTTTGCCCAAGGACACAACGACACTGAAAGCTGGAGCTTGAACCGTCAACCCTTCAATTTCAGGGCAAACTCCTACACCCGATGCCACTGTCGCCCCCCTGTGCAGAGAAACCTCAGCTGTGCCACTGCCATCAACACCTTTGTTTATAGATGTTGGAGCTTGGCCTGTTTTTCAGTGTAGTCCTGTTTCTCCGATTGTAACTAACAGTAACTAACCCAACCCTTTGATTTCAGGGCAAACTCCTACACCCGATGCCACTGTTGCCCCATAAAAAGGGAGTATATAGAAAAGAAATGAAAAAGAAAAGAATACCCCTATATTGTCCTTCACTGGGGAAATGATGGTGTATGAGCAGCACAGTTACAGGCATTATAGTGAATAGGTAACATGAGTGCAGTGAAAAAGGTTAAAAATAAAAAGGACTATGGGCAGAAAGAACCCTAACTCAACCCTAACTCTGAACAGTATTGAATAGAAATACTGTGCAGTTACTATACTGCAACACTGAGATGTGCAAAATGACAGCAGCATGTTAGTATTATAAACAGACTAAAAAATTAACCGTGCAAATATCAGCTGTTTTTAGCTTTGTAAATTTAGGGTGCAGCAATGTGCCACTGAAGATTTGCAGTTCAGCAACAGCTTTCTGCATGGGTTGGGAGACATTGTCTAACTAAAAAGAATAAAGTTGTAATGTCTCTAACGATCCCACTGTGTTCAGCACTTACTAAATCTTGAAGTGAATGTCTGTTGAACATCCATCCTTAAATTTGCTTCACTGCAGTGTTTATTAACCATTTCATAAAAGAGAGCGACTTTTTATTATTGTATAAACAGCATGAAAAACTGTCACAAAGGAACAACATTATGGATCTCAAAGTTTGGCTCCTTTAATAATGATAAAGTCATTTAAGAGGAAATCTGACTTTTTATATTTTTAAAATTACGGAATCACTTTGAATATATAATAGCCACCAGAAGGGGTAATTAATAACGGTAATTAAGATATAATTACAGAGTTCTAATATAAATTAAAATATCAAACATTTATTTCACAAGTTGTCTCTATTTGCTTCTTTGGTTACCTTCCACTTCCAGGTAAGCAACAGATTCAACGCTTCTGGCAACAAACTTGATCTCCCCAGAGTCTTCTGGTCGCACATTACACATAAGAAGAAAGTGTTTTGTTCCTGAAAACAGTAATAATAAAAAAAAGAAAATTGTATATATGTAATATTATAGTAAAAAAAAAAATCAAACCTACTATATATTTTCATGTTTACCTTCCTGGCGGATCTTGATGGTGCTGGTGGGTTGTATCCGCTCCCCATTTTTATACCATTCCCCTGGAACATCCTCTACAGAGATCTCACACACAAACACAGCATTTTGATCTTCCTGGATGTCCAGATCTTCAAGGTCCTGCAGAACCAGTAGCTCACGCTCTACAGATACCATTCACAGAAAAAAAAAGCAAATAACACAAATATCAGTACCAATAACTACTTGTTGAAGTTTTCTTACTGTTACCTTTTTCGTGGTGAAAGATTTCTAGGTGTGAAAAGATACCAGGTGCCAATGCTACCCAGTCCAGAATGTAGTACCAGATAAATGTCAATAGATGGAAGTGCTGGGCTACACACTATTCATTCATAAATTCATTTATTACAATGTAAAAATCCATTGTTAAATTACAGGGAGTAATAAGAAGAAATTTTTTTAAATAATTTTGCATCTTTTTCACCAATTAGCAAAAATCACAATCAATAGCAAACTTACAATTATGTCATTATAAATATTCACCCAATCTAAACTAATAAGACTATGTATTAAACATCATGTTTTAACTACAATTTAAATGACATTGTAGCTACTGAAAGAGATTCTTCCAAACAAAATGTCATTTCAATGTTTACTGTAGCTATAAAGCATATTCTTATTCAGGTAAAAAGATCCCAAAGGATTGTCAAGAACCAGTTCAGTGGAAAAATGATCTAAAAATAAGTAAAAACTTCTTAAATTAAGTGTATTTACCCTTAATTAGAGTAGGTAAATGAGATAGTTTGCCAATGGAATGAGTAGTTTTACTCTTAAAATAAGATAATTAGATAATATGCACTTAAAATAAGACAATGCAATTGTGTTTTCTTATTTTAAGAGTAAATTGTCTTGGTCTATTGGCAAAATGTCTCTTTTACCTCCTCAATCTAAGAAAAAATGCACTTATTTTAAGAAAAAATAACTTTTTTAGATTTTGATTTTTTCCAGTGTTGGCTTTGCTCATTGTGTTAGTCAAGTAATCAAACTAACAGTTTGTTGCATATTCAGCATTGATCATTGTAAAGAAGTTAATGCTGTTAAATTTCAAGAAGGGCGTTTAGTTAGAAGTAACTTGTTTCATACAGAAATCACACAGTCAAGGAATAAAATCCCCAGAGGACAGGATGGGTCATTGTATCCCCACCCATCCCAACACTGAAAAAGAATGTTTCCAGCTTCTATTTTCATTTGGTGAAGTAGCGATTGAACTATGCATTACATTGGCATCAAAATACCATTGTCTGCGATATCAGTATCATAAAGAACTGTTAGCCATATCTGTTAGCTAATCTATTCAAAGTGTCACAAATTCACACTTCAGATGCCAAGATCATTTTTAGTCTGTTGGATGTGGTGTCATCACAGTACAGATTATAGTGCTCTTCTTTCCAGCTGTCACAAAAGGTGTTAAAAGAAAGAGATCTGAAAAGAACGTATCATGATTGGTTCTTATATTGCAATTACAATATTTACTAAAAAAAAAATATCATAAGATAAATTTACAGGGTTAAAATGAGGTACAAACAGACATATTGGAATACATACATGGTTGATATGAGTTTTGTCTTCAGTGGAGGCAAGTACTATTAGACTGAAAGTAACACATTCCCTGTTGTTTAAATCACATTTAAAATGTTTCACTAGTGGTTCACGATAGTGATTCATCCTGTAGCCTGTGGGTCGTTGGTTTGCACACCTCTATTGTTATGATCTTGGCAAGACACTGCCTACAATGTCTGCTGGCGGTGGCCAGAGGGCCTGTCATGCAGATTTTATGGCAGACTCACTTATGTAAGTGACTGAATGTGGTGTAAAGTAATTTGGAGTCCTTTGGCTTATTAAAGCACTAGATAAGTACAGTTCATTTACCATTCAGCTGACTTATGCAATGTTAACATTTAGCTAATACAGCTTCTTTAAAATATTCCATACGGGATTGTTCCATTGTGGACATTTTTGCTTTCCTTAGAAATTCCTATAAGCATTTTCAACATCATAGAATCATACAACGGAGAAAATACTGCTAAATTGTGAGGTATGAACAAAGGAGGTGATAGCGTACCGTAGATCTCCACTCTGCAGGATGTAGAAGCATCGCCAGCGTCACACGTGTACATGCCAGAGTCACAGGTATTACACTTCATTATCTGAAGAAAGCGTTTCCTTCCCATTGCATAAATTCGTACATCTTTGCTTGGCTTGATTTCTGCCCCATCCTGACAAGAACATTTCAAAATTAAAAAGTTAAAATTTCTGCTTAAAAAGAGCAGAAATGAACTGTCCTTTTAATTCAAATGACATCTAATATCAAAATTAATGTCCCAAAAAATCTAAACTTTTTCATCTTTTAATGGAGTCTTTATTCAAACAAATCTACCACCAAATATTTTCTTTGAGTGCGTTTTGTAAACAGTTTTCTCATAAGCTATCTTTTTATTAAAATCATAATTAAAATAAGTATGAGGGACTACAAAAAGAAGTAAACAAAGCACTACCTTTATCCATTTGACATCAACGTTGTGTCTTGACAGCTCACATTCGAAAGAGATAACAGATCCATCAGGGACTCTCTGGTTCTCCAGCTTCCTAAAGATAGTCACTGGGGGCTCTGATAAAGAAAAGGATTGCTTATTTAAACAACAAAAACCTGCTATCTATATCAACTTATCTATGTAGTATATATGGACCAAATGAATCCTTTAAATTTCATGAAATGCTCACAGGGATAATAGACACTGATTGACAGAGGCATGGGGAGAATTATTCTGTGAGTTGGGGTTAAAGCGGTACCTGAGTGAAAGATGGAGTAGAGCCAAAGCTTTTTAATGAATCGTTCAAGGCTATTTTCTTTGTGTTTGTAACGTGAGCCTGGATAAAGGCAACGTTAGAAGAGCTGTCACTCCATTCTATTATCATGCATGCAATGGTTGCCATTTGGTCACAATTGAGTGGATAACTTCAGCTGTCAGTCTGGGGTCACTGCCTATTTTGCATAAAGGCAGATTTGGACATAATCAGTCATGATGGACCTAAATTGCTGATATGTCTGAAAAAGCACAGTTGGCATAAATGGTTGCATCCCAAGTGGAATCATAAAGTAGAATAGGATAGAATATAGGATTATAGCATACTATATTCAGTTGAATCCATTAGTAAAGGTCAGCAGACACAGAGGAGGCCTCTTCAGACGGCATTACCAGCTGATGATGGAGTTGTACAGAGGTTGCTTTGTGACTTTAAATTAGGTTGGTTATCAGGTTATCATACTGTGAAAATTCTTGGCATGTGGGACAAGTTGGAGCCAAGACCTGGACACATTTCTTAACCCAAAAAACAAAACAAATGAAAAACAATCTAAAAAATGTTTTGCATTTCCCCATTCTTATGAATATTCTGCCTTTCTGCAGATAATTGAAGTTCATGGAACACATATTTGAGTATGTTATCCCGCCTCACATCCTAATATCTTCAGCTTTATCTATAAAGCCCACTTTTAACAACAGACTGTGTTCAGACCTGATCTAAAAAAGATGTGCTGCAAAAAAAAAAAAAAGTTAAACACAACATTAAAAGACCAGACTGTGTCTTACCACCTGGGCTTCACGCTGGCTTCATAGGTTCAGCTGTAGTAACTGCAGCTATTTGCACAGCACCGACTCTTATATTAGAGGGGAGGGAAATATGAAAACAAATAGTGGAGGAAACAATGAACACTTGTGCTGGGTTTTGTGAATAGTCAGTTGTTCTTTTCCTCAAGCATGGCCAGAAATGTGCATTTTGTTGTTCTCTAGACCCCTGACTATCCTGGCAAAATTGGTATTTACTTTCTATTCCACACTGAATTTTAATTGTCTTTAGTGTTGTGACTCTTCTACAGTTTTTTAAGGGGTCTGGGAATCTGTTTGATTCACTAATGACACACCGTAATTTTCCATCTTCAGGGCAATAAGGGATATTTCTATTCTATCCCATTGTTAATAATAAAGCAACACTTTTTTCATCAATAGGCAAACTTCTCTGATTTTTATTTCTTTTTCTGGCGTCTATGAGCCAACCCGTTGTCCCTATTGGAGAGGTCTGTAGCCACTGTTTAAAGTAAAGCTTAGATCTAACCAGTTTATTCCCTAGGGTGTGTTATTAGTCAATAGAAACAGAGACAAGCAATGTTAAGGATGTACTAGCAATGGTTTAGCCCCTAAAGAGTAAAGGAGGAATTTATGTTGGGGGTTCCTGGTTGATGGTTACTTAATTAGTCTTAATAAAAAAAAATATGCAAAAGATGTTTTCATTAACTTCATAGCTTAAATCCCTCAGACACCTGGAGAACAACATTGCAGTTCAAACCTGACACAAAAGCTTAGCAGTGTGGTATATGCAATGCGTTGCAGTGAGGAATACTGGGACTCAACATCTAAGAAACTACACAGCATCTAAATAAGTAGATGGCATATGGGAGGAAGGAAGGATAGTGACAGATGAAGGATGCATCTGTTTTAAAGCCAACAATTTGCACATTTTGACCAGGGAAGACCAGTAGTCACATTGAGAACTTTTTCTGTCAAACATTTAATAAAAAAAGTATCTGTTACGCTTATTTTTGCACTACTCTACACAGTTTGTGTAGTTATTATTTTATGAATATCTAAATTATATGATTTGTATTTGAGGGCTGCTCTGGGCGCAGTGGGTAGCAGTGCTGCCTTGCAGCAAGAAGGTTTCGGGTTTGATTGCTCAGGGTATTTCTGCATGGAGTTTGCATGTTCTCCCTGAGCATGCGTGTGTTCTCTCCGGGTACTCCGGCTTCCTCCCACAGTCCAAAAACATGACTGTTAGGTCAATTGGCTTCTCTAAACAGATCTATATGGATGGAAGGATGGATGGATTTCTACTTGAAGTTAAAATAAAAGAAGCAAACTGAGGGTGAACAGTGGTAGAGAGTTTGAGCATTTCTGCCAAGTTAAAGGAGAAGTTCACTTTTTAACACTTTAAGCCCATTTTCTGTAGTGTCCAGGATGAAATCGAATGATCGACACCAAAATTTTGACATTTGGTCCTGTCTCTGCTTTTTGGCTCATGCAGAATCACCCCCTGGCTGCTTTAGAATGGCTTCCATAGAGCATGTCCGATAATGTCCTTAAAACAACCTTAAACATTCTTTTTTTAAAATATGCTACTCACCGGGTCGTCAGCGCTGTTCAATGACGTTCCAAAAAAAGTTTCGTAAAGAAAAAACGTTCCTGTAGTGTTTTATTTAGCATTTTGTAAATCCCATTGAGTTCTGTAGGAATAGTCAATATTCCCCTGCCACCGGAAACGGAAATGGGGCCTGTTTACACAGTTGTAGTCTTTTCGCTTCACTCTGTGTACTCCGACGTCGAGGTGCTAACGTCTCTGTTAAACACTTTAAAAAACTCTGAAAATGGAATACGAAAGGTGGATTCTTGATTCTCGACGTTGGAGTACACAGAGTGAAGCGAAAAGACTACAACTGTGTAAACAGGCCCCATTTCCGTTTCCGGTGGCAGCGGAATATTGACTATTCCAACAGAACTCAATGGGATTTACAAAATGCTAAATAAAACACTACAGGAACGTTTTTTCTTTACGAAACTTTTTTTGGAACGTCATTGAACAGCGCTGACGACCCGGTGAGTAGCATATTTTTAAAAAAGAACGTTTAAGGTTGTTTTAAGGACATTATCGGACATGCTCTATGGAAGCCATTCTAAAGCAGCCAGGGGGGTGATTCTGCATGAGCCAAAAAGCAGAGACAGGACCAATTGTCAAAATTTTGGTGTCGATCATTCGATTTCATCCTGGACACTACAGAAAATGGGCTTAAAGTGTTAAAAAGTGAACTTCTCCTTTAAGGAAGAAGCCTTTGGTTAGCACTACAATTAGCTTTAGTGGACATAGAACCTGGCTGGAAAACAGTACAGAATGAGAGCCTGTGAGCGTAAATGTGCAACGTATCGGCCGGGAGAAGTTAAACTTGGAGCCATTACAAATAAAATAGCAAACAAACTTCACATTTCTTCTATCTGGGAACTGACAAGCAACATGGGCTGTGTTCGATTTTTGCGGCTGCGTCCCGCAAAGAACCCAATCTACAAGGACTGGATCTTTGGGATGCTGTGAATATAAGCAGGCTGGAAGAGTTCAGCTATAGATTCAAATAGGTCGAGCCTTCTTCAGCTGTCATGGCCCCTCAGTCAGCATAAGCTCTGTCGCCTAGCAACTGTGACAGTTTATGCACAAAGCAGGTGAAGAATGGATGCTGAACTTTTCACTACTGCTCTGTTTGCTAGTTTGGATTCTGAGCAGCTTCAGCAGCAGTAATGTCATTGCAGATATCAGATTGTAGTCCCCACACTGCACTGATATTTGAATCCATTCTTCTATGTCAGCCAAACATATTTGCAGATCTTTCAATAAACCAAACATTACCCTCCACACATCAGACTTACTAACCATTAAAAATAATGATTTTCCTTAATTTAAGACAACAGGAGGGTATTGTATTAAACTGCATTTACAATATTCCCCACTGTTCGTCTCCATTTCTCTTTTTCCTCTGAGCAAGAAGCAGCCGGCTTGCTTGGACTCGCAATTAATCACTGGATACCCTAAGCTACGAAGGATAGGAAGTATGCAGTGGACCTTTCCTGCCGTCATGGCAAAAAGACTTGCTTTAAATCCAAACAGGCCATGGCGCCGCGCTATGACGTCATTGGCCAACGAATGTGGCCTTCGGAGGACACATTTGAACAGTCATGGCCTCTAGGCTTTAAACGTTTTGATGCATCTACAGAGGTCCTTTATGTGTTCTAACCTGTCAAGAAAAACTGTGGTTTCACTACTTCCCAGTCAAGTCTGAATAAGACTATTACTTTTACTATTACTGTAGTAATTTTATGTTAGCTATTGTACATTTATTTGCTATAACAACAAAAGTAGATGTCGGTTCTCTTTTATGATCTAAGTCGATGGTTCCCAACCAGAATGTTTTAGGTGTTTCCTTGTTGCCTCACACCAGAAAAGAATGCATGATTGACAGATTCCTGTAGCATTTGATTGAAGATGAGGAGCCCTTATTTGAATCAGTTGTGCTGTAAGAGAGACATATCTAATAGTTGCAGGGTGGAGGTCCTTAAGGAGCATCGTTAGGAACCACTGATCTAAGTGATGTACTATTTATCTCAATATCACATTACTCTGTCTGTCTCTAAGTTGCCTACCCTTCACAACAAGCCTTGCAGAGGTTTTCAGATTCTCTACAGAGAACACAAAGGTCCCCGTGTCTTCCACTGAAAGGTTGGAGATGGTCAGGCTGTGAACTTCTCCTTTGGCGCTCATACGGAAGTGATTCGTCGGCTTAAGCTGGATTCCATTTCTGATCCAGGTTCCTGGGACATTGGAATGAGAGAGCTCCACTTCAAAGGATGCTGTTTCTCTCTCTGTTGTTTTAATATCAGTTAGCCCCCTCTTGATTGTGACTTTTCTTGCTGTAAGAAACCAGAACACAGAAAAGAAGGACAAATGGACCATGGATATAGGTCTTCCTGATCAACCAGAACATTGTCAATGCATGAAGCTCTGTGGTTTATTTTTTTTTACAGAATGGGCCTGGCATCCAACACCAGACTGAATTTAGCCATTTGATCCATAGAGCTTTGTACACAATCCAGCTTTGAATTTGCCAAGTTTTTCATTTATTGTATCACAGGCAAACATTCCCAGTGGAAAAAAAAGGAGTGTTAATTTTGGAGACCTGATGACAACAACCCTAGATTTGAAGGCCAGGGTGTAAATTTAGATGCAGTGAGGGAAGATCGAAATTCATAGGATGTGCCAACAGTGGCCTGAAGTCCTTACTTTCTCCTTCCCACCTGCACAAGTGTTGAAAGAGCAGCCTTTAATTCATCCCCTTGCCTGCAAATCACAGGGCTAAGAAACATAAGCAAAATGAAACCCTTGGATAAGAGCATCGTAATTACTAGAAGATGTTTGATTGAGTGTTAAGTTCAAAACAAAGACGTTTTACTTCTCTAGAAACTCTTGAAAGAAGAAAATAAATCTTAATTCTTTATTTATTTACAGATTAATCTTTAAAATCTATGTGCTAACAGACATTATATGCAATGTGTTCTCTTTGGAGTTTGATTACATGGCTACCCTGCTCTGTGTCTTGGCTTTGTTAGGGTATCACCTGTTGGTTACCATCATTTCCCAGGGCATAGTGCCCCTGTCCCCAGTAAACTTAAACTACATCTACGCAATTAATTGAGATCTGCCCTCACAGGAAGCAGGGACTGTAGGTGTAACCAACGGGCAGTTGTCAGTAACGAAGGTAAACAAACAACAACAGGACATAGTGAGAACGAGTGGACACTCACGCTCCACGGTGAGCTGGGCTTGTGTGCGGTCATGAAGAGTTTCGCAGCTGTAGGTGCCTCGGTCAGACAGAGTCACTTTCTGAATAGTGAGGGTGTGATTTAGGCCGTTTTGTTTCAGGGTGTACTTGGCCCCGGGATGGATCAGGACCCCTTGTCTCATCCACTGCACGTCTGCTGTATCTAGACTCACCTCCACCTCGAGAATTGCCTCACTGTACTCTTCAGCTACTACTGCCGACATTTTCTTCGTAAACAGCGCCTGTTGCTCTTCACAAAGACAGGGATTAAAGGATAGCTGCCATTATTGTTTTGTAGAGTGTAGAGGTGCATGGCAAATAATTGTACAGATGTTTTATATTATAATGTCTTATTCAGCAAGCTGTGCTTTAACTTTCTAAGGTTTAATCTGGGTCATTTATATAAGGCCCATTCTCAAAAAAAGTAATCTCAATGTACTATACACACATATCCAGTTTATATACAGAAACGTATAAGTAAATAGGAAAGTAAAACTTTATTTATATAT